AACTATGAATGAGATAGCTTTTTTGTTAGATATTGCTTCGTTGTCTATTCATTCATTCACACACTTCTCCAGTCTTCCAAGGGTGCTATTTATAGCTGGATTAGATAATCTATCCGTTGAATCATAATAGACTATCCGTTGCATTTGCTGGCTTCAATTTTGAATGAAGATTGCGATTTGAAGATTCCTCATTAGAATGGGTGTTTGGACATACCCAATTGTTTGAGGAGGGATTCCTTTTTCCACAGAATCCGTCTTCTAGCTGTTGTTCAAGAATTCAGAACTGTAGCACTTTACTCTGTTTGTCTTCTAGTGCTTGTTTAGGAATTCTGGACAGACTCTTCATTTTTAGAGGTCCAAACTTTGTCTTCGAGTCATTTGTTTTTGAATCAGCATAATTATCTTCAATCTAGCCGTTGAAAATCAAGAGATTGATTTTTCTTTACCAACGGGTAGAATTTCTTCATTCAAGACTTAGATAATTTTTCTAAGTCTTTTCTCACTTGTCCGCTTTTTGAGAATTCCGATCTTCAATGAGTCTTCCGATTCTTAGCTGACAAATCCGGAGGAGTCATTCTCAGACTTCTGGGTGAGAAAGATATCCCAGGTGATTATAGTCACACACCTATAAACATTTCTCCTAAGATTCCTTTTCCCCCCCCTCAAGGAACCACAACAGCCAGTTTTTGCAACCCCATTTCCACCTTTTCATATCCCTCATAGCCCTCTCTCTCCAGTAGCTCCACCTTTCAAGGTGCAAAGGTCTGCTCACAACCGAGGGACCAACCTCACTTCTTAGGGTGTTCAAATTCTGATAATGATAATGATTTGGAAAGATCACAGTGGAACGTGAGCTATAACTCAGGCTCAGAGAAGCAGACAAAGCCTTATTTTAAGCCTCTTTTTGATTCAGAAGAAGAATGGGTCACAGATAGAGGATCAGAAGATGAACCAGACTGGCATACTAGGAAAGAAGCAAGTAAAAAGAAAAATCGAAGGAAGTTTGAGCAGCTCTGTCTTCAGTTTAAAGACTCCCCAGCGCCAAGGAGGAGCAAGAGATTAACGGACATGAAAACTAGATTAATTCAGGAGAAAGGTTTGCTTTAAAGTTCCTAATTCTGTTTTGATTGCTCACTTTACTTTATGAAGGCTAGGTTCGAAGTCTTTGTTTGTGCCAAGGTTCTTTAACTTTCGTCTTAGCTCTATCCATTATTTTTAAAAGTTGAGGATATCCAGGAGTCCATCTTCGTATACTTCCCAATTTAGCTGTTGATTTACAAGTACCTTGTCTTGATTCTCTTTGGTTTTTTGCTGATGTATTTTCTACATCTCTAGCTGTTTGAAGGTCTATTTACAGCATCTATGTCGCAGTAGTTTTTTGGCTTATTTGTTTTGGCGCTTTCCACTTATTTTTAGCTTTCGATGTTATGTTTAGGCTGTAATTCTTCCATGCTGGGTGTTAGGCAGTACACAATCTGCCTTGTAATTTTTCCTTTTCTTGTAATAAAAATTTCGTTTCAAAATATATATATATATATATATATATATATATATATTATATATATATATATATAATATATATATATATATATATATATAAAATATAAAATATATATATATATATATATATATATATATATATGGGATTGACTCCAGTCAGATGACACCTTACGGTGAGATGACATGCTACGGTCAGATGACACAAAGCTCACCACTGGACACTGCAAAGCTCACCAAGGACAACTACAAAGCTCACCAAACTGTAAGGCAAAGCTCACCATATTTTTTCAACACTTTGAATTTTTTTTGAAAAAAATTAAAGGAAGTGATGCTGACTGGACTTTGACCATTGATCGTTGACCATCACCGGCGACCCCCTGCCGCTGCCGACCTCCGGCCGCCGGCGACCTCCGCTGCCGCCGTCGCCGGACTCCGGCAGCCACCGCCGGCCGCCGGCGACCCCCGCCGACCACCACTGGCGACCTCCGCTGCCGCCGTCGCCGGACTCCGACAGCCACCGCCGGCCGCCGGCCGCCGACCTCCGCCACCACTGCCGACTACCGCCTGTCTCCGACGCCTCGCCGCCGCTGACCGGTGGTTGACCGGTCATGCAATTTTATTTTTTATTAATTTTTTAATTTTCAAAATTAAAAAAAAGGTGAGTTTTGATGTTCAAAGTGGTGAGCTTTGCTCTATTCCCAGGTGAGCTTTACATTGGTCATGGGTGAGCTTTGCAGTGTAATGTGGTGAGCTTTGCGTCATCTCACCGAAGCATGTCACCTTACCGTAATGTGTCATCTCACTGGAGTCAATCCCTATATATATATATATATATATATATATATATATATATATATATATATATCTATCTATATATCTATATATCTATATATATATATATATATATATATATATATATATATATATATATATATATATATATAATATATATATATATATATATATATATATATATATTGGATTGACTACAGTGAGATGACACCTTATGGTAAGATGACATGCTTCAATGAGATGACACAACACACAACACTGCCAATGAAAAGCTCACCAACTGCCAATGCAAAGCTCACCAACTACCAATGCAAATCTCACCAACTGTCAATGCAAAGCTCACCATTTTTTTAAATAAAAAAAGTTAAAAAAATAACACCACCACTCAACCACCACTCAACTACCGGTCCACGGCAATAGTGGGAGTCATCGGTGGTGAACATTGGTCATGGGCGGTCAAAGTGTAAAGCTCACCAACTATCAATGCAAAGCTCACAAACTGTCAATGGAAAGCTCACCAAGGAACAATGCAAAGCTCACCACTTTTTTTTTAAAAAAAGCTAATAAAGCAAAGCTCATCACACTACACTACAAAGCTCACCAATGGACAATGCAAAGCTCACCTGGAAATAAAGCAATGCTCACCACTTTGAACCCCAAAACTCACCTTTTTTTAAATTTTAAAAATTAAAAAATTAATTAAAAATAAAATAACAACACCGGTCAACCACCGGTCAAGGGCAGCGGAGCAGCAGTGCCGGCCGGAGACCGACGGCGCCGGCTGGAGTCCGGCAACGTCGACCGGCGACCGGCGACCGGCGGCGGCGGCGGCTGGTGGCCGGCGGCGGTCAACAGTCCAGTCAGCACCCTTTCCTTTGATTTTTTTTTTGGAAAAAAATTCAAAGTGTTGAAAAAATATGGTGAGCTTTGCCTTACACTTTGGTGAGCTTTGTAGTTGTCTTTGGTGAGCTTTGCAGTGACTAGTGGTGAGCTTTGTGTCATCTGACAGAAGCATGTCATCTCACCGTAAGGTGTCATCTCACTTGAGTCAATCCCATATATATATATATATATATATATATATATATATATGGTGGTCCCAAAATGGTGAGATACAAAGTCTAGAGGGAGGGGTCAATAGACTTTGTTACAAATTTAAAACTTTTTCGTTTCTTTTGAAAACGTGAAAATGAGTGTTAATCTAGAGTTCTTGTGAACTTTAGATTGTGTGCGGAATTTGGTGGGTAGAGTGAGCAGTAATCAATATGGATGGATTAGTTTTCTCAGTTAATATAATTGCAAGTAAGAATAAAGATAAAAGAGAGAGACACGCAAACTTTAACGAGGTTCGAAGGTGGGGTAATCCTTCTACGTCCTCAAAATTCACTATGTAGTTGGTTGTTGAATAAATGAACCAACAATTACGCTTGTGTGAATTTCTGCACGGTATATCTTCGCAAGGCCAATGTTGCTACTGCACTCGTGCTGGCTTTGTTGTTCCTTCGAAGGTCACGCTTCTTCAACAACTGCAAGGTCCAAACAATAGGACTTGCAAGATCAACTTGTAAGAAAGTTGACCTACCCCCTTTCAATCAATAAGTTTGATCAAAAGTTGTATCCTTCAACGTGGTGTGGTACTTGAGGCAAGGAAACCTTCAAGTGTTTACACTATAGCTCTTTGGAAGGAGGAGAAGTTTGCTTCTGGATAAGGAGTTTAGAAATCTCTCTTTATCAAGCCTTTGTTGTTAGAGATTGCTTTGGAAGGGCTAACTGTGAATGAGATAGCTTTGTTGTTAGAGATTGCTTCGTTGTGGTTGTCTATCTCATCAACTTTTCATATCTTCTCTAGTCTTTCAAGGGTGCTATTTATAGCTAGATTGGATAATCTATCCGTTGAATCATAATAGACTATCCGTTGCATTTGCTAGCTTCAATTTTGAATGAAGATTGTGATTTGAAGATTCCTTGTTGGAATGGGTGTTTGGACATACCCAATTGTTTAAGGAGGGATTCCTATTTCCACAGAATCCGTCTTCTAGCTGTTTTTCAAGAATTCTGGACTGTAGCACTTTACTCTGTTTGTCTTCTAGTGCTTGTTTAGGAATTCTGGACAGGCTCTTCAATTTTTAGAGGTCCAGACTTTGTCTTCGAGTCATTTGTTCTTGAATCAGCATAATTATCTTCAATCTAGTCGTTGAAAATCAAGAGATTGATTTTTCCTTACCAACGGGTAGAATTTCTTCATTCAAGACTTAGATAATTTTCTAAGTCTTTTCTCACTTGTCCGCTTTTTGAGAATTCCGGTCTTTCTTGAGGCATCCGGCTCTTAGCTGACAAATCCGGAAGAGTCATACTCAGTCTTCTGGGTGAGAAAGATATCCGCGCTAGTCTTCCGACTTGGATGACTTAGCCTTCAGCGGGTTGTAGCGAGACATCCGGTTATCATGTAGTCTTCCGGATTGGAGGATTTTCATCTGCTTTGAGAAATCCTTACTTGTCTCTGACATTTCCGATCAAGATATCCAAATTCCATATCACAGAATTTGATTAAGTCTTCAGGCATCAAACCGCTTAAAGAAATATCACAACTTTATTGGAAATCTCAAGAACTCGGTTTTAACAATATTTCTAAAAAGAAAAATTACATTGAATATTTGGGGGAGACCTAAAGTCCCTATTACATTCTAAATACATCATCATCAAAATCTATAAAATTTTTCCCAACAATTTCCCCCTTTTTGATGATGACAAACAAGTGTTTAAGAGTTCCGGTCGCTGTACTGAGAACTAATTTTATAACTTTCTTTTAGTTTCTCATAATATACAGCTTGTTAACAAAAACTCTTAAACAGATACAATTCAAATTACAATAATTCCTAAACCAAGTCTTGTCTTTAGATTTTGTGATATCTTCCGCCATTGACCGTTTTCAGCTTCAGCAGATTCTGCTTGGCAGAGCGGTTGGCGTTGCGTTTGATAGATCTTTAATATCCAAAGTGGATATTCAAGATCTTGGAAGCAACACATCTCTCAAAAAGCAAAAACAAGAACAAAAAACGAAAGAAGAAAACAAAAGAAAAGGTAGAAAGACAAGAAAGAAAAGGTTTTGGAAAAGAGAATTGATTGTGAAAAAGATAAAATAAAGGTTTTTAAAGATGAAGGGAAAATAAATTTTGAAAAATGCTTGGGAGAAGGGAGCAGAGACTGCACAAAAAAAATTTTGAAAAATGCTTGTAAGAAGAGTGCAGAGACTGTCCAAAAAAAATAAAGTCCAGAAAAAGAAAGAGAGTGTTGTTCCAGAGAAGGTGTATGGTGTAATCCTGAAAAATACGAGATTTTCACCACAGACCTTCTCTACTGCTGAGATTCTCACCATAGACCTTGAAAGTCTTTTCTTCTCATTAGGCTTCCTCCATTGCCGTCTATGAGGGTGAGAAAGAAAAATTTCTCCATTGAGGATATTTTTCTTGGTGTGTTTCTCAGACAGTGAGTTTGAAGACTTTTCGTATTGAAAGAGTTGTTTGTGATAGGAATGGATTGGGATGTCTTGATTTAAATAAGAGAGGAGGTAGAGAGAGGGGAGGTTCACGGGTTCCACTAATTGGGTAGATGGAACGGTGAGAGTAAAAGAGTTTCAACTTCCAAGAAGTTGAAAAGTGAAAGGAATCTTTTACCAATTACCAAAGAATTGAAACTGTTCCAATTAGAAAATCAGTTTCGTTTGGTTTGAGAAACGTAACTGTTTTAGTTTGGCTAAACCCAAAAGAGTGGCCCAAAAAGAAAAGAAAGCTATGTAAAGTTGTGATGGTGGATGATGATGATGGAACATGATTGTGAACAAAGGATGGAGTATTATATTGTAAAGTTTGGATTGTTATGGTGTAGTAGGTGGCTTTGTAGACTTTAATAGATGCTTGACATTATGAAGGGGGCTGCGTGATTGAGTATAATTTGTGTAATAATAGTTTGGCTTTTAGTCCACACTGATAATTTTATCCCAAACGGTACGCGTTTTTTCGCCCAAACTGCTCCGAATTGAAAACGGATTGTGTTTTTGGAATCAGACTGTCAAAACTAGAATTTTGACATAATCAAAATATTTTTCTGAAAACTTTTATTTTTATTTAATCTCTGGGTTTGTCTCAGTCATGAATTAATTTAATAATATGAATGAGATAAAAATATATAAATTTTATCCCTATGATGAATATGGTATTATTAATTGTCAAAGATTAAGATTTCTAATCTTATGAAATCACTTTTGAATTGAATTTATTTTATGGGTCAAAGTTACAAATTTTAATATTTAAAATCGTCATAACTTGAAATCTATAAATCAGATTGGTTCATAAACTGTACCGTTGGAATCGTCTCTTCGAGACATATCCATAAAGATAAGTTTTTAACAAAAATTCATTATTTTGAAAATCCATTTATTTTTGGTCAAACGTATAAATATTCCTTATTGGAGAAAAACTACTTTTGTTTTATAATAAATTTTAGGCCATATTTTGTGGCGTTACATTTCTTCCCCCCTTAAAGAAATTTCGTCCCCGAAATTTCCATAGGTGAAGTTTTTTAAAATGATGATATACAAAATCATGACTATTCATTGTTTTGTAAAACCCAATTTTCAGAAGTTGTTTTCTATTTCTTTTGTTGAGTGCCATGATTATGACATGTTTTCCTCTGAGAAAATATATACGCGGATGATAGATGTAACGTGTTTGGATTTCTTTTCACGGAGACTTGTGTCGAATATACTCTTAGACTTGCTCTCGCTGTGTTGTAGGAGTTTTCAGAAGTTCTTATATGGGTTGTATTTCATGAATGGGGAGTAATTTACAAAACTTCTTTTTTTTTTGAATTTCTTCTAGTATCATTCCCAGACGACTTTGTCTGGAATGTTGATTTCACAAACTACACTTCGTTGTGTACAAGCATGAACTCATTGTTTCTAGGTTTGACGTCATTACATAATGGTATTTTGAGAAATGACTATTACCATAGTCATCATTCTTAGTTTTCTAGATGAATACTTAATTATAGTTTCAAAACTTGAACTCTCATTAGCGATCCTTAATGGAGTTGTTCTGACTAACGTAATGTAAACAATCTAATTTTAACTAGCTTATGCATGCCTATAACTGTAAACATGCATATCACACTTATGTATGACAATAATATTTATGTTTTTATCACATCGAATGATTGGATGGACGTGTTGGACAACACTTGTTACTTTGTCACTGTTTGCCTTATCAAGATGATATGTTGTCATTCTTGAATACTGATTTTCTGATTGATGATTCCTGAACTACCTTGGAATTTCAGACATTCTCAATAATTATGATAGAGCTTCGTGCTCAAAAATTATAATATTAGTGTATTCGTCATATCACTAATATTCGTCACACAACAGTTAAATTACCTATTACCAAAAACATGATAAGTTGTATACGTAGTCATATTTTAATATGTTTATGATTCTACAAACACCTGTGTGATTTCCCATGATGGTCTGCCGAATTAACTTGGGTGGGGATCAAATTCACCTTCAGTATGGTCATATTTGCCACACAAGTGGCAACTTTTCCTTTCTAGTTATTGCACATATGTACCTTTGTTAGGGTCAAAGCAGAGTTGCTTGATCATCATTGATCATAATCTTCATAGATAACGTAATCACATCAACCATTACAAAGTATGGTTTTTTTTGAAGATCGGTATCATAAAACATCTTTTTAGTTTGATGGAGAATCATGAGTTAAAACAAGTTCTCAATGATTTGATATATAAAAAAATACGGAATTCAATCTTTTCGAGATTGATCAAGTGAGATGCTTTAAGTGTGTAATTAACACAACAAGTTTTAGTATTTCAAGGATGTGAATCACAAGATACAAAGATAACATTTGCGAATTATCACTCAATGTTTCGCCCTTTGGAAACTACTCAAAGAGTCATTCTCTTAGGGGAAATAGTCATTTTGACTTTTCGTCTTGGATTTGAATGTATTTCAGGACAATGAGCCTAATTATTCATGAGTCTCAATATGTCATGTCGTCAGCAGACTGTAGTATTGGCAAGTACATTCTTGTCTGGAGCGAATCCACTTTCCTGTACGTTTTTAGGCTGGTGATAATTACTTTTCCATCAATGGTCCAGTTTCAGAGTCTATATATATATATCAAATTGTGGCAAGAGCATCTCACATTCTCACATTATGGAAGGAACTTCTCAAGCTCTTCCTAATACCATAAGATTCGTTGGTCTACTTGGTAGTCATGCTCTTGGTAGCAATCCAAGGTTTATGGCTACAGCGGTTGATCTAGGACGGGAATTGGTAAGGCGAAAAATCAGGCTTACCTACGGAGGTGGCAACGTTGGCCTTCAAGGAGCTGTAGCTTCAACAGTCTATAATAATGGTGGTAGAGTTAGAGGTTTCATACCAGGGTATATAGCAACACAATAGGTTTACGGACCTACGTACGGTGTAGAGTACACCGTCTCCAGCAATTACTATAAGTATTTCGAGATGAATCATATTGTGGAAGTCTTCATTGTACTTCCTGGAGGAGTTGATACTATCGAAGGTTTGTTCACCTTAATCTCATGGGCATCTGAAGGGTTGCACAGCAGACCTATTGGTCTCTTAAATATTGATGGTTATTTTAATAACCTAATCAAGTTTCTAGATGATGCGTGAGGCAGAACTTCATGGCTTTGAATCAGAGGAAACTGTTCAATTCTTCTTTCTTTGTTGATGAGCTTTTGGACAAGCTAGAGTTTGCTACGGCTTTCCCGGGTCCTGGTGCTAGTTATGACGAGTTTGAAAATCCTAGAAGATTAGACTTAGAGTTGCATCTGTAATATAATATTGTCCATGTACACTATGCATTAGTCATAAATATCATTCTAAGCTGCATGACTAGTGCATTTCAGAAGAGTATTTATTTCCAACAACAATATGTACCATGTAAATATTAATCTTTTTTTTTCTTTTTTTTATTATCTTCCAATCTCTCACTGTTGGTGTGACTGTTTCACATCTTGTTTTGTACTGTCATCTTGTTGCGACATTTTGCGTCAGTAAGGTATGCGAACGAGTCAATTATCTTAATGTTTGTATGTAGATTCACCCCTATAATGCGTTTCAGATTCGATACATATGTCGTATTCGATCTGGTTTGTGAGGCTCTATTCTTGTTCTTTAGAAAACGACAGAATCACTTTTGGAGAATTTGTTCACTTCCTATCGGAGAAAGTTCTTTCTCCAATGTATTCTTCGGCTTGATAGAAGTTGATTCACATTGTTCTCTTAGTTATTCACGTACTACGACATTCGTATATGTTGTGCTTATTGGGTTTACAATCCCTCTTCTTGATCTTTTGATGTCGACTGTGATCGTTGAAGAACTTTCTGAGGCAATCTAAACTTTATTGCAATCGGGTCTATGAGGATACTAGCAACTCAAAGGAAGCAAATTTTCAATGAGTTAAGCATGTGTGTTATGCCATAGTAACTTACTGTTAGACAAGGCGTGCAACTCTAGAGGGGGGGTGAATAGAGTTGTTGAGAATGGTTACTGATTTTCGCAAGATTAAAAAAATAAATGTAAGTGCAGCGGAAATAAAAAGAGAAGGCAAGAACACACAGATGTATACTGGTTCACCACCTCGTGTCTAGTCCAGTTCCCCGAGAGACTCTCTCGAAGCTACCACTACTTCCGTTAAGCTTACGGGTGCTTAACAAACCGTTTACAACTCGAGAACTTGAATCCCACAAGCCTCGACACAACCACTCGTAGATATGCCCTCTACAAGACTTCACAACCAAGACTTAAATCACA